TTGGACGGTGCCGGTGTGTTGAGGTTTCGGGGCAGAATTTGTGTGCCGGATAACAAAGAGTTGAAGAGGTCTATTCTGAGTGAAGGACATCGTAGTGGGTTGAGTATTCACCCGGGAGCTACGAAGATGTACCATGATTTGAAGAAGATGTTTTGGTGGTCAGGAATGAAGAGGGAAATAACTCAATTTGTTTATGCTTGTTTGACGTGCCAGAAAGCGAAAGTAGAGCATCAGAAGCCTAGTGGTTTTATGCAACTGTTAGAGATTCCAGTTTGGAAGTGGGATTGCATCAGTATGGATTTTGTTACAGGATTTCCGAGTACGGCGAGAGGTTTTGATGCCATTTGGGTAATTGTGGATCGGCTTACGAAATCTGCACATTTCGTACCGATCAATATCAGTTTTCCGTTGGAGAAGCTGGAAGAGATCTATGTTCGGGTAATTGTGAAACTGCATGGTGTGCCGTCGAGCATTGTATCAGATAGAGATCCAAGGTTTACTTCCGAGTTTTGGAAAAGTTTGCAAAGAGCTTTGGGTACCGAGTTGAGGCTGAGTTCAGCATATCATCCACAGACTGATGGTCAGTCGGAGAGGACTATCCAGACTCTGGAAGATTTGTTGCGGGCTTGTGTGTTGGAAAGAGGTGGTGTGTGGGATACTCATTTGCCGTTGATTGAGTTCACGTACAACAACAGTTACCATTCCAGTATCGGGATGACTCCATTTGAGGCTCTTTATGGTAGGAGGTGCAGAACTCCTTTGTGTTGGTATGAGACAGGTGAGAATATGGTTTTAGGACCAGAGATTGTGCAACAGACTACTGAGACAGTTCAGATGATTCGTGAGAAGATGAAAGCATCGTAGGATAGACAGAAGAGTTATTATGATAACAAAAGGAAAAGGGTGAAATTTAGTGAAGGTGATCACGTGTTCTTAAGGTTTAATTTGGTGACCGGTGTAAGTCGTGCGCTAAAGTCCAAGAAGTTGGATCCGAAGTTCATTGGGCCGTATCAGATTTTGCAAAAGATTGGTGTTGTGGCGTATTGGGTGGCGTTGTCGCCTGAGATTTCGAACTTGCATGACGTGTTCCATGTGTCGCAACTTCGGAAGTACGTCCGAGACCCTTCTCATGTGATACCGAGAGACGAAGTGCAGGTCCGAGAGAACCTTACCGTGGAAGCGATGCAGTTGCAGATTGAGGATCGCAAGACGAAGAGACTCAGAGGAAAGGAGATACCTTTAGTGAGAGTAGCTTGGGGAGGCGCTGCGGGAGGCAGTGTGACCTGGGAGCTGGAGAGCAGGATGCGGGATGCGTATCCAGAATTGTTTCCATCGGGTATTTTCGAGGACGAAAATAATTAAAGTGGGGGAGAGTTGTAACGCTCATTTTTAATTATCTAGTTTTTCCTGTATTTTTGTGTTGTTGCGTTTCAGCTTGTTTGTGGGGGTGCGTTCGAGTATGATGAGGTTTAGGCCTTAAGTTGGAATTTATCGGATATATCAGACCATAAGAATAATAATAATATTATTATTAACGGAAAATGATAATTAATAAATAATAGTGATAATAGTAATATTGTTATTATTATTATTATTATTATTATTATTATTATTATTATTGTTAATACATTAATATTATTGTTAATATAATTGGAATTAAGAGAATTATAAGATTAATTGAGTAAGGGTAGAAGTGGAATAAGTAAATAAGGGTATTTTGGAGTTGGAAGCAAAGAAATAGAAGGGGAACGCGTGAAAGAGAAGGAAGGAGAATACGAGCAAGAGAGGAGAGGAGAACTTGAGCAATCGGAAAAAGAGGAAGCTAAGGATTTCCGGTTGGAGCAAGAATTCAACTTCTGTGCTGGAATTCGAGGTAAGGGGGGGGGGGGGGGGAGAAACAGATCAAAACGGTAGATAGCATGAACATTAGGTAGTAGGGATTTTCCCCTAATCGCATGATTTTGTTGTGCATGTTGTTGTTCATATGATTGTTATGCCAATTCTGTTTGTGATGATTCGATTGCATGTTGAGAGTTTGAGCTGTTAGGGAGAATTGGGGTTCCGAGCAAACTGCCATTGTTGTGCCGGAACTGAGCAAATGTCAGAATTGAGGGTTTTATCGGGTAGGAACCAGAATGTTTGCTGTAGCCTTGTTGTAAGTTGCTATACTGGTATAGTGCAAGCTTTCGTGGAATTTAATCGGGTGGTATCGGAGTGGGAGCTGATTCTGAACTGTGATTTTTCTCAAAAATCGCAGACACTCGCTGGCTCTTCGCCAGGCGAGTGCACAGCGAGCCTTCGCTAGGTCGTCGCTGAGCGAGGAGGGTAGCGAACAAAAACAGAATGTCCCAGGTGACTTCACTGGGCAGTTCGCTGAGCGAACTTGCAGCGAGCATTCGCTGGTGCTTCGTTGGGCGATGGGTTAGCGAGCATGACAGTATTTTGGTAACTATGCTGTGCTGTTCCATTCTTGTGCCGTTTAAATCTGTTGGTTGTGGGTGACTGTGAGAGTTAGTAGGGCACTGTTGTGAGTGTGTATGTGATACGAGAGTGTGTTTTCTCAAGGTAATTGTATAATTGAATATGAGAATGATATGTATTATGTGTACATGAGTTTGGTCTGAATTACTTGAAATATAGTATGTAGTGCATGAGATGCATGATGATGTGATATGTGTATTATGTGCAGCATGTGTACTTGCATTTGTTGTGGTGTCATGGTGTTGTGCATGGCATGTGAAGGGGTTGATCATACTGCTCGGAGGGGCGTATGAAATAAACTCAGGCTCCGAAAAGGAGTAGATGCAAGGGTTGATCATTTGCTCGGAGGGGCAAGTGAGACATACTCAGGACTCTGTAAGGAAGGGTGAAGGGGTTGATCATATTGCTCGGAGGGGCATATGAGATATACTCAGTTATGAGATAGATCGTTGCCTAGAGTGACTTGTGTGATCTATCCGAGTTCGATGATGAACGGAGAGTCGGTACCGCATTGCATGTGTTGAGTTGCATGAGTCGCATAGTCGTGTGCATGGTTATAGTGGTGTGGGACCGTAGGTCCGAATTGATGCATGTGGATTATTATGGAGTGTGTTTACTTCCTTTATACTCATGCTTACTATTGCCTTTATGTTTTGTTCGTAATTTCTCACCCCTTTTGTTTTTGTTGTGAACTGTGCTTCTCTGGAAGTACAGATGTTTCAGGTGCTAGCTAGATTGTTCCGTGGCGAGTCATAGGGATGCTCTGATACGTAACACCGGGGTTTTTGGGAGTTTTCGTGTTTTATGATATTCGTGTGCCCCAGTGGCGTATCTCTTTTATGATATGTTTGATGGATCTTTTAGCGTGTATTTGTACATGATATGTGTTTTGGACAGACAGTCGAGAGTGGTGTACATGACATTGTACGATGTTGATATGAATATATATATATATATATATATATATATATATATATATATATATATATATATATATATATATATATATATATATATATATATATATATATATATATATATATATATATATATATATATATATATATATATATATATATATATATATATATATATATATATATATATATATATATATATATATATATATATATATATATATATATATATATATATATATGATGAAGTTTTATTCTTTTTCCGTTGTTTACACATTGTTAAATTATTTTTATGGAAATATTTGGCTGGTTTTCTCCTGTGACATCCTGATGTGTTGGTGTAATACTCTGATATTCATCTATTTTCTCTTGGATTTATTTGTTTTGGGGTCGGGGTGTTACAATCTGGTATCAGAGCAGGTCGGTCCGTCCGGCCAATGTTGTTGTCGCGTCTGTCTGTAGGATAAAGCTTAGTTGTTTTCTGTTAATTCGTTGTTGTTGTTGTTAAGCAGTATGGCGGGAAGGAACGACGCCGCGTTGGCTGCAGCCATGCAAACAATAAATATATAAATAGAATAAATAGAGTAAATAGAATAAATAGAATAAATATATTCTGTAATTTAAATATTAAAAAAATTAAAAAAAAAAAAAAAAAGAACCGGAAGACTTGCAAAAAGTCTTCCGGTGAACAAACGAAAAAAATGTGAACCGGAAGACTTGCAAAAAGACTTTCGGTGAAGAAACGAAAAAAAAAAAATATAAAGCGGAAGACTTACAAAAAGACTTCCGGTGAACAAACGAAAAAAATATGAACCGAAAGACATACTTAAAGTCTTCTAGTAAACAAATAAAAAAATTATAACTTTTTATAATAAGATATTTTGGTTCAAAAATTTTTAATGTAGAGATATGGATATAATTATAAGAGTATGAGGTAAAATTTCGGAACACAAAGTACCAAAGCCCAAAAAAAAGAAAAACAATACAACGATCAAGAAAAAAACCAATTATTTCCTTAGAAAAAAGTATACTGCAAGAAAAAAATCCCATAACGTTCAACAAGTCAAAAATAGACAAAATTAGTTTTCCTAACATATACTCCTGGTCTTTAATATAAGAAAAAAATTACTTCTATCAAAATATCACAGTCCAAGAATAGGTCACTAACACTCTAAATCCAGAAATTTAGCACATTATAACAGAATTAGTTGTTGAAATGATAGGTTTTTTTTAAATATATAAAAAAAAAAAGCCTAATTTATCTCTAAAGTGGTAATTTTTCTATTGTATAAACTTTTACTAGGTCATATTATGACGCCTCAGAATTCGTCCATCAAACAAACCATACATCATTTCATTTCAACCCTAATTTCTCAAAATAAATAACTCTATAAATATGAGCCACCATCATCTTAATAATTACACCTTTTCACTTTCTACCCTATAACAAATTTAATACCTACCTAGGTTACACGTTTTATTCATTTTTCTTATATATTTTTTAAATGATTTATTTATGTAATTTTTTAACGTGACAAAGGCAACCACTGGTTAGATTAAATTCTGTGTATAACCTTTAGATTAAATTCTGTGTATAACCTCATGTTTGGAGAGGTTCAGAGCCAGTTGGGAAATACAATGAAATCTCACCATAGTATGATGCTTGATAAGCTTCTGAAAACTGTGATTTCAGATAAAAATGACCAACTTATACAAAACGATCCTTCGTATCATCATAATAATAATTCATCATTTTTATCTGAGAGTACCGGTGATAGTTTGAATAACAATGAGGTATGGAGTGAGATTAACCAACAAAAACATGTAAAAGATAATAATGTTCATATAATTGGAGATGAATCAAATTTGGCCATGGCTTCACGGTCACGACATTGGTTACCAATAGAACTGCAAATGCCGGTGCCAATTCCAATGCACATGCCTTCTATCCAAGTGCCAATTCCAATGCACATGCCTTCTATCCAAGTTGAACAACAACAGGATTATCATCATCAGAATCAACAGATCATAGGGTTATGTCCAAATTTCAATGCTGCACAATCAGTTTATGATGAGAATAAACCGATGGAGATTGATTACTCTGAAAACTCACTCGCTATGTCAATGCCAATATCATCTACATGTTCAAATTCAAAGGGAGACGCTGCTGCTGCTGTTGCTGTTGGCGTTGGCATTGGAAGGACTCACGAGAATTTGGAAAAGTCGGTTGAGAGGAAACAGAAGAGAATGGCGAAGAACCGCGAATCTGCGGCAAAATCTAGGGCAAAGAAACAGGTAAGTAAGACTCCTCATATGATATCATGTTATTGTAGCCGATGTATATTTACGGTTGTTTTTTTATTTGATACTCTAAGGAACACATAAATAAGTTAGCGATGGACAAATTTCAATTGGCGATAATAAATAAGGAACTCAATATGAGAAAGGTACACAATGCATATTTGTTCCTGTTGTATTGATCATGATTATGATTTTGTTGTGTTTTGGATGTTCATAATACAATATCTCAATTTGTGTCTCAATTTATTACATGTGTGGAAGATGTGTGCTCTAAACTATTTAAGAATAAGTATATGTCAAATCAAAAAATCAAAATCTCTAATCATTTGTACACTAGAAAAAAAGAACATTAAAAAAGTATAATGAAAATTCAAAAGTATAATGAATAAAAGTATAATTCACAAAATCAAAAAAGTATAATGAAAATTCACTTTTTTCTCAAAAGTATAATGAAAAAGGTATAATCAAAAAATCAAAAGCTTGGAATGGTATATTTATTTCAGCAAACTTCAACAAAAGTATAATGAAAATTCACTTTTTTCTTTTACTTACTTTTCATTAAAAAATATAGGAACATCCAGCTGAACAAGGGTTTAGAGCCTAACATACGCATATCAGGTTAATTTGTGATGACCTATTAGATCATAGTTTAATTTAATAAAAAATGATTAATATTTTTTAACAATTTATTTAATTAAATAAATTAAATTATAAATATTAAAAAATATTTTAGGTCTACCTGATTATTTAAATAAAGATGATTAATATTTTTATATTAATATTACTATATTAAATTTTGTATTTTTGAATAATTTATAAATTTGATAATATTTTCAATAATTTATGTTAAACAACCTACATTAGTTTTTTATATATTAAAATTTATTATTATAAACTCTAATTAAAGTATAGTATTATATAGTGATTCTTTAAATTGTATGTTAAATATAAAATGAAATTTTATTTTATTGATTTATTATTTAAATATATATTAGATTACATATTTCATTATGCTTGTATGAGATATTTTTATGTAGGTTAATAGATTAAATTGTTATGAAAGTTTAACATCAAGCCTAAAATTAAACCTATATGAGCTACATGTCAGATTTGAAGGTAACGGGATTTATATGAACTACTCCTTCTTGTTATATTGACTTGCAAAATAAATCGTTTGCAGTAGTTTTACAAATGAGGTATGAGGTCTTTATATAGACCAAAGTTACATACAAGAAGACATGAATAATTAATTCACTGCTATTTTCTAAGAGAATAAACCTTTTATCTGCTCTAGGAGAAACAAACTATTCGTTACCTGAGACAGCCTTTTAATTTATCCAACAAAACTCCCCCATTAATTAAAGGTTTCATTGATCTATTATTCCTAGCATCTTCTTTCCTCTGTCGAATAGCTCCTTCGACAATGGTTTTGTAAAGATGTCTGCAGCTTGATCCTTGCCCGCCACATGCTTCAGTTCGACGCTTCCATCCTTCACATGTTCTCGAATGAAATGAAAGCGCACATCAATGTGTTTGCTTCTTTCGTGATTTACTCGAATGAAAAGGCTTTCAATGCTGCCGTATATCCTTTTTTTTTCCAAAAATTCTTACGAATTTTTTTTTTTGATATAGAAGTGCGTTTTTTGGGAACTGGCATACAAGTAGTATAGTTTTTTCGTTGCTATAGTTTGATGTGAAAGACATTTGTTCTGTAAATGAACACGAATTATTCTGCAATTAGCCGTATGTCTTATCTATCGGAATTCCCTCTTTCTTTTTTTTCGATCAAAAGGTAAAGTAAAAACATTGAATATTATAAACCTTTTCCAAATTTTTCATAGATAATATTGATGATTCATGAATATATTACTTTAAATACTCTTTTTTTTCACTAGGAATTTTCTTATTGGCCGGTTTTCACTTTGTACTTTCCAATATTGGGACCAACCATTGTATTGTGCAAAGATTCAGAACAATTAAGAATATCCAATTCTATTTCTATATCCACTTTTTTATTAACCGAACCCCTTTACAAACAAAAGAGATAAAACAAACGAATAAGAAATGTCGACTTGCACTATTCCTCTACCAAATGTTCGATCCCTTATGCTTGCTCAATTTGGTTCGCAACTTGTTGGTGCATTTGGTGGATGCGCAACCAAGTAATCTTCAACGATGCAATAGCCGATCCGATTGCTCTATTCGACCAAATTACTTTATTTTTTTGGCGTTGGTTGACAGGTTACAACTTTAAAAATAGGTGTTTATTTTATGATTGGATACAATGCCATTTAAATTTCATGTAACCTTACTTTGCTGAATTTTTTGCTGGTGTCCACATTTTGTGTAACCTTTGGTAAACTATCTAATTATGATACAACCTAATTATAGGAAACTAATTATGACTAATTACAACAAAATATTCTATTCTATCACACCCCCGTTGTCGAAGTGGGAGGTTCACGAACGCTTAGACTGGTCCAAAAATCATCAAAGAGAATGCGAGGAAGTCCTTTGGTGAAGATATCGGCGATCTGATGTCTTGAGGGAACATGAAGGACGCGAGCCTGACCACGAGCCACTTTTTCCCGAACAAAATGAATGTCCATCTCAATATGCTTAGTGCGCTGATGCTGCACAGGATTACCGGATAGATAGATGGCACTAACATTGTCACAATACACCAAAGTGGCTTGAGGAATAGGAAAATGGAGTTCCAGAAGAAGGTTGTGAATCCAACACGATTCGGAGACAACATTCGCAACCCCCCTATATTCGGCTTCAGTACTGGAACGGGAGAGTGTTGGCTGCCTTTTGGAAGACCAAGAAATAAGGTTGTCACCTAGAAAAACACAGTAACTAGAAGTGGAACGTCTGGTGTTAGGACATCCACCCCAATCAACGTCAGTTTAGGAGATAAGCTTTGTAATGGGAGATGGGGATAAATGTAGTCAAAAATGTAAAGTTCCCTGAACATAGCGCAAAATGCGCTTAAGAGCACGCATGTGTTCTGTGCGAGGGGCATGCATGTGAAGACAAACTTGCTGGACAACATATGATATGTCAGGTCGAGTGAAAGTGAGATACTGTAGGGCCCCTGCAAGACTCCGATACAAGGATGGATCCTCATAAGAAGTGCCGGAGGATGTGCTAAGTTTCTGTTTGGTGTCAACAGGAGTGGCTGATGGTTTACAGGACGTCATGCCAGCACGTTCAATGATCTCTAAAGCATAAGTGTTTTGACTGAGAAATATGCCATCGGGATGACGAGATACTGCAATACCCAGAAAGTAACTCAGAGGGCCCAAATCTTTCATTGCAAACTCAGATGCTAAGAGTGACATAATTGATTTGCGGAGGACCTGAGTGGAGGTGATAAGGATGATGTCGTCTACATACAGTAGAATGTAGGCCATGTCTAAACCTTGGCTATATATAAAGAGGGAGTGGTCTGATGTGCTATGGCGAAAACCAATGGTGGCGACATAGTCAGCAAAACGTTGGTACCATGCCCTAGGCGCTTGCTTGAGACCGTACAATGACTTCTTCAACTGACATACATAATCTAGATGACGGAGGTCGCGGAAACCCAATGGCTGATGCATGTAAACAGTCTCTTGAAGATCACCATGTAAAAAAGCATTTTGGACATCCAGTTGATGAATGGGCCAGGATTTGGAGAGAGCAATGGTAAGCACTGTTCGAATGGTAGCGAGTTTCACCACGGGGCTGAAAGTCTCGTCACAATCCACACCTGCAACCTGTGACCTGCCATCACCAACTAGACGAGCCTTGTAACGCTCAAAGGAGCCATCAGAATTTTTCTTATGTCTAAAAATCCACATACATCGAATAAGATTAGCATCACAAGGACGAGGGACTAAATCCCACGTCTTATTTCGAATAAGAGCATCAAATTCATATTGCATTGCGGATTTCCAATTCGGGTCTGATAAGGCTAGTTTGGGGTTTTTAGGTATGGGAGAGATGGTGTGGTCAGAGTGAGAGATTGATAAGTTAAATATCGTGCGGGGTTTGACAATGCCTTTCATGCTTCTGGTGGTGATGGTTCGTGTAGGTTGAGGTGGATGCAGTTGACTTGGTAGTGTTGATGGAGAGTTACTTGTAATGGGTTTGTTGATCGAAGAGGTAGGAGATGATGATTGTTGGTTTATTGAGGGTAGTGGCTGGTCAATTGTGATTGTGGGTGTTGGTTGGTTATGTGCAGCAGGTGGGGAAATTTGATTTTGCCACTGATGTATAAGGTAGGGGTGAAAGTCATCATCATCTAGGAATTGATAAGAGTGAGGTGAAGGGGAATGTATCTTGTTGAAGGGAAATTGAGTTTCATCAAAGATAACATGCCTTGAAATTATTAATTTTCTTTTAGACAAATCAAAACACTTGTAATCTCTATGATTTAGTGGATAACCCAAGAAGACACACGGAGTAGAGCGGAGTTGTAACTTATGGATGGTAGATGACGAGAATAATGGAAAACATAGACAACCAAAGACTCGAAGGTGTGTGTAGGTGGGATCACGATGATACAGGAGTTATGTTGGTGACTGATTATGAGGTGTTTTACAGGGAATAATATTTAACAGATAAGTTGCCATGTGGAAAGCATGATGCCAAAACGAAGGGGGAACAGAAGAATGAGCTAGCATAGTGCGTATCATATTATTAATGGTTCTTATTTTGCGTTCCGCTTTCCCATTTTGTGAGGATGTGTGGGGACAAGAGAAACGAAAAATTAGACCATGATCAATGCAATATTTTTTTAAAAAGCTCATTATTATATTCACCGCCATTGTCACATTGAAATGTTTTGACTTTTTGCAAAAATTGAGTTTGAATGAGTTGAGTAAGTGACTTGAATGTTTCAAAGACATGAGATTTTCTACTAATAGGAAAAGTTCACAAGAAGTTTGTGAAATCATCTAAGAATAAGACATAATATTTATGACCAGCAGAACTTAAAATTGGAGACGTCTATAAATCACTATGTAAAATATCAAAAGGCATCAAAGTCGTAGTTTGAGAATAAAAAAATGGCAATTTAACCTGTTTGCCTAAAACACAATAGTCACAAACAACAGAAGAATTAAAAGGTTCACAACATATGAACTTATTTTTACGAAGGGAATTCAAAACAGACACGCTAGGATGACCAAGA